GAGAACTTTCACGGCGCGCATAACGGAGATAAAACACCTCAATTACTGGGAGCGCTTGAGGTTTCTAAACCTGTATTCCCTGGAACGCAGGAGGGAGAGGTACATGATTATATACACCTGGAAAATCCTAGAGGGACTAGTACCGAACTTGCACACGAAAATCACTCACTACGAAAGCAAAAGACTTGGCAGACGATGCACCATCCCCCCAATGAAAAGCAGGGGTGTCACTAGCACGTTAAGAGACCATACAATAAGTGTCAGGGGCCCGAGACTGTTCAACTGCCTCCCAGCACACATAAGGGGTATTACCAACAGACCCCTGGCAGTCTTCAAGCTGGCACTGGACAAGCACCTAAAGTCAGTTCCTGATCAGCCGGGCTGTGGCTCGTACGTTGGTTTGCGTGCAGCCAGCAGCAACAGCCTGGTTGATCAGGCGCTGATCCACCAGGAGGCCTGGTCACAGACCGGGCCGCGGGGGCGTTGACCCCCGAAACTCTCTCCAGGTAAACTCCAGGTAAACAATACCACCATGTATGTTATCTCACTACAATACCACCACCACCATGTATGTTATCTCACTACAATACCACCACCATGTATGTTATCTCTCTACAATACCACCACCACCATGTATGTTATCTCACTACAATACCACCACCATGTATGTTATCTCTCTACAATACCACCACCATGTATGTTATCTCACTACAATACCACCACCATGTATGTTATCTCACTACAATACTACCACCACCATGTATGTTATCTCACTACAATACTACCACCACCATGTATGTTCTCACTACAATACTACCACCATCATGTATGTTATCTCACTACAATACTACCACCACCATGTATGTTACCCCACTACAATACTACCACCACCATGTATGTTATCTCACTACAATACTACCACCACCATGTATGTTATCTCACTACAATACTACCACCACCATGTATGTTATCTCACTACAATACTACCACCATCATGTATGTTACCCCACTACAATACTACCACCACCATGTATGTTACCCCACTACAATACTACCACCATCATGTATGTTACCCCACTACAATACTACCACCACCATGTATGTTATCTCACTACAATACTACCACCACCATGTATGTTATCTCACTACAATACTACCACCACCATGTATGTTATCCCACTACGATACTACCACCACCATGTATGTTATCTCACTACAATACTACCACCACCATGTATGTTATCCCACTACGATACTACCACCACCATGTATGTTATCTCACTACAATACTACCACCACCATGTATGTTACCCCACTACAATACTACCACCACCATGTATGTTATCTCACTACAATACTACCACCACCATGTATGTTATCTCACTACAATACTACCACCACCATGTATGTTACCCCACTACAATACTACCACCACCATGTATGTTATCTCACTACAATACTACCACCATCATGTATGTTACCCCACTACAATACTACCACCACCATGTATGTTATCTCACTACAATACTACCACCACCATGTATGTTATCTCACTACAATACTACCACCACCATGTATGTTATCCCACTACGATACTACCACCACCATGTATGTTATCTCACTACAATACTACCACCACCATGTATGTTACCCCACTACAATACTACCACCACCATGTATGTTATCTCACTACAATACTACCACCACCATGTATGTTATCTCACTACAATACTACCACCACCATGTATGTTACCCCACTACAATACTACCACCACCATGTATGTTATCTCACTACAATACTACCACCATCATGTATGTTACCCCACTACAATACTACCACCACCATGTATGTTATCTCACTACAATACTACCACCACCATGTATGTTATCTCACTACAATACTACCACCACCATGTATGTTATCCCACTACGATACTACCACGACCTACCTGACTATGTTTTTCAGTATATCTTATATATATATAATAGTATGCACTACATTCCTCCAGTTCTCAACCAATTGTTACTTCGCTCAGCTACATCACGATCGTCATTCTTCTCATACCCAAAGTTCTAACGTAACTAAATAACAGAGACTATCATATTTCTGCTAATAACGATATATCCAAGGTAACTAAATAACAGATTTTTATAGAAACTTTGTAAGTCGGAGAAAGCTACTCTTGAGTTGAGCGAGAGAAATTTTTCATTTAGAGATTAAGAAAAATTCAATTTCACTAATTTGTCACCCAAAACTTTTTAACAAAGTATAGTAGTTAGTGCTTCTTTATACAAAGAATAAAACTAGAAAAAATATTATTTTCCGATATGGTGTATAATATTAACTTGGGGTCTGGACCTCAGCCTCTAAGCGAATATCAGAAGCGCATCAGAGATGTGCGCAAGATGTTCAGTGCAGCATCCCGCGAGAACGCACGGAAATTGCGGCCAAGAAAGGAGGGAAAACATGCACCCACTTTGCTTCCGAAATGTAAAGCCCAGCCAGTGAGTGATGAGGAGTCTCCCAAGACCCAGCCTGTGAGAGATGTGGAGTCTCCCAAGACAAAGCCAGTGAATGATGAGTCTACCAAGACCCAGCCTGTGAGAGATGTGGAGTCTCCCAAGACCCAGCCAGTGAATGATGAGGAGTCTACCAAGACCCAGCCAGTGAATGATGAGGAGTCTACCAAGACCCAGTCAGTGAATGATGAGGAGTCTACCAAGACCCAGCCTGTGAGAGATGTGGAGTCTCTCAAGACCCAGCCAGTGAATGATGAGGAGTCTACCAAGACCCAGCCTGTGAGAGATGTGGAGTCTCTCAAGACCCAGCCAGTGAATGATGAGGAGTCTACCAAGACCCAGCCTGTGAGAGATGTGGAGTCTCTCAAGACCCAGCCAGTGAATGATGAGGAGTCTACCAAGACCCAGCCTGTGAGAGATGTGGAGTCTCCCAAGACAAAGCCAGTGAATGATGAGTTTACCAAGACCCAGCCAGTGAGTGATGAGTCTCCCAAGACCCAGCCAGTGAGTGATGAGGAGTCTCTCAAGACCCAACCAGTGAATGATGAGGAGTCTACCAAGACCCAGCCAGTGAGTGATGAGGAGTCTCTCAAGCCCCAGCCAGTGAGTGATGAGGAGTCTCCCATGACCCAGCCAGTGAGTGATGAGGAGCCTCTCATGACCCAGCCAGTGAGTGATGAGGAGTCTCCCAAGACCCAGCCAGTGAGTGATGAGGAGTCTCTCAAGACTCAGCCAGTGAATGGTGAGGAGTCTACCAAGACTCAGCCAGTGAGTGATGAGTCTTTCAAGCCCCAGCCAGTGAGTGATGAGGAGCCTCCCATGACCCACCCAGTGAGTGATGAGGAGTCTCCCATGACCCAGCCAGTGAGTGATGAGTCTCCCAAGACCCAGCCAGTGAGTGATGAGGAGTCTCTCAAGCCCCAGCCAGTGAGTGATGAGGAGTCTACCAAGACCCAGCCAGTGAGTGATGAGGAGTCTCTCAAGCCCCAACCAGAGAGTGATGAGGAGCCTCCCATGACCCAGCCAGTGAGTGATGAGTCTACCAAGACCCAGCCAGTGAGTGATGAGTCTCTCAAGCCCCAGCCAGTGAGTGATGAGTCTCCCATGACCCAGCCAGTGAGTGATGAGGTCTCCCAAGACCCAGCCAGTGAGTGATGAGTCTCCCAAGACCCAGCCAATGAATGATGAGTCTCCCAAAACCCAGCCAGTGAATGATGAGGAGTCTCCCAAGACCCAGCCAGTGAGTGATGAGTCTCCCAAGACCCAGGCAGTGAGTGATGAGGAGTCTTCCAAGACCCAGCCAGTGAGTGATGAGTCTCCCAACACTCAGTCGATGAGTGATGAGTCTCCTCATGTGGAACGCGCTCAAACTGTCACTGAGCCTGTATTTAGTAAGCTTATCCCTCAGGAGGAGCTTATTAAGCTTATCCCTCAAGAGAAACTTACTAAGCCTGTCCTCCAGGCTAGGTCCAGTAACCTCGTCTCCCTGGTTCAGAAAATGGCAATAGACAGTTCACAAAGCAGCCCCTCTCCCATTCCTTAGAATTACCTCGGGTTGGGCACACACTGCTTGCCAACATCTCTGGCATACGGTCCTCGGTGGCCATTTACCTTATGGAACCCTATGAGGCCAGCTTTCTGTCCCAAAATACAGACATTATAGCTAAACCCACAGCAACTGGCTCCGTAGGTATCAAAAACGTCCTCCATCCTGTCTGCCGGAATCCTATAGTAGTAAAACTCTCGAAACCCACCAACCTTATTTCAATGGTTAATCAAGGACAATTCAAGGAAATTTGCAGGAGTCGGTAACAGGAAATTCAACTGAGCGTACACCTGGAGGGCGTTCCAGGGATCAACTCCCCCGCAACCCGGTCCACGACCAGGATGAATTTCCCTTCAGACTGTCCAGTGCCATCCCACATGATGGTTTCAGTGTAAATAGAATGTAAAAAGTAACTTTTATTATTTTATTATAATCACAACTAAGCGCTATTTATCTATTAATTTATTTCTAATACCACGGAAATGTTATTTTATGGATCAGTTTTCGTTTTTGTTCATTTATTTTTTAGGTGAAAATGGCCTTCAGTACCGTTTTTCGTAGCATGTTAATTTTTAATATAGGTTAAAATTTTGTACACGCATCCTAGTTTATATTGACTATTATTTTGAGGTACACCAGCGGGTGGTTCTTAATTAGGTCATAAAGAACAATTAGTCACAATACCATGACTGGAACAATACACAAATAACTCGCACATAGGAGAGAGGAGCTTATGATGACGTCTCGGCCCAACTTGAGCCATTTACAAAGTCTCACAAAACAGAAAAAAACGCGAAAGTCACAATGGGTCTTTGTCAGACCCGTTGAGCACTAGAAAGAAATACTTGTAATTTTACAATTACTTTATATAGTTGTTGTACAACAACAACAATAATAATAATAATAATAATAATAATAATAATAATAATAATAATAATAATAATAATAGCTTTATTTACTACAAGTACAATGTATACAGTCCTAGCTGACATCAGTGACATACTATTATATAGAAAGCCGCTTGTTAATGCTGAGCATTTCGGGAAAATTAAAATAAAAACTAAGCGCTAAACCCACCAGGGTCATACAGCGCTGCTGTACATAATACAGTAAGGAATATAGTCAGTAAACTGATATTTTAATACCAAATAATAATTGTATTAAATGAAAGTCAATCTAAAATTATTTACATCTTATTAATCTAGTCAATGTGTGTGTGTGTGTGCGCAACACACACACACACACACACACACACACACACACACACACACACACACACACACACACACACACACACACACACACACACACACACACACCTGGAATAGGTAAAACGCGATTTTTTGCTAAAAAAAAAGCAATGCTCTTCTTGCCGAATAAGGCAAGCGAACATTTGTGTATGCAATATCACAAAAATCATTCTGAACCAAACGAAAAAAATATATTTTACTGTGACTGTTTATTAAATTATTGTAAACTTATGTAAAATATACTTAGTTGGATAAGGTCAGGTAAGTTTTCTAAGGATCTTTAGCAATAAAATTATTATTACCTCCCAAGACCCAGTTGGTGAGTGATGAGTCTCCCAAGACCCATTTGGTGAGTGATGAGTCTCCCAAGACCCATTTGGTGAGTGATGAGTCTCCCAAGACCCATTTGGTGAGTGATGAGTCTCCCAAGACCCATTTGGTGAGTGATGAGTCTCCCAAGACCCAGTTGGTGAGTGATGAGTCTCCCAAGACCCATTTGGTGAGTGATGAGTCTCCCAAGACCCATTTGGTGAGTGATGAGTCTCCCAAGACCCAGTTGGTGAGTGATGAGTCTCCCAAGACCCATTTGGTGAGTGATGAGTCTCCCAAGACACAGCTGGTGAGTGATAAACCTCCCAAGACCCAGTTGGTGAGTCATGAGTCTCCTGAGATCCAGACGGTGAGTGATGAACCTCCCAAGACCCAGCTGATGAGTGTTGACTCTCAAGACCCAGTTGCTGGGTGATGAACCTCCAAAGACCCAGCTGGTGAGTGATGAGTCTCCTGAGATCCAGACGGTGAGTGATGAACCTCCCAAGACCCAGCTGATGTGTGATGACTCTCTCAAGACCCATTTGGGGAGTGATGAGTCTCCCAAGACCCATTTGGTGAGTGATGAGTCTCCCAAGACCCATTTGGTGAGTGATGAGTCTCCCAAGACCCAGTTGGTGAGTGATGAGCCTCCCAAGACCCAGTTGGTGAGTCATGAGTCTCCTGAGATCCAGACGGTGAGTGATGAACCTCCCAAGACCCAGCTGATGTGTGATGACTCTCTCAAGACCCAGTTTGTGGGTGATGAACCTCCAAAGACCCAGCTGGTGAGTCATGAGTCTCCTGAGATCCAGACGGTGAGTGATGAACCTCCCAAGACCCAGCTGATGTGTGATGACTCTCTCAAGACCCAGTTGGTGAGTGAACCTCCCAAGACCCAACTGGTAAGTGGTGACTCTCCCAAGATCCAGTTGGCGAGTATTGAACCTCCCAAGACCCAGTTGGTGCATGATGAGTCTCCTCAGGTGGAACTCACTCAGCCTGTCAGTCAGCCTGTATTGAATAAGCTGATCTCTCAAGAGGAGCTTATTAAGCTTATCCCTAAAGAGGGACTTACTAAGCCTGTCCTACTAGCTAGGTTCAGTAATCTCTCCCTGGTTCAGAAAATGGCAGTAGACAATTTACACAGGCTGGTGGAGTGTGACAGTTCCCAAACCACTTCAAAACACATGGGTCTTCGTACCAATTTTCTGAATAACATCTGCAGTCCCACAAGTGTGGAATTTTCCGGAGTGCCTAGCAGAGTTCAAAGTAACCCTTCACCCATGCCTTGGAATTTCCTCAGGTCGGGCGCACAGTGCTTGCTTTCCTCTCTTGCATACGGTCCACGGTTTCCATCTACCCTATGGAACCCTATGAAGTTGGCTTTCTCTTCCAGCCCTCAGACATCAGAGCTGTCTCCAGTACTAAATTCACAGCAACCGGCTCCATGGGTATCAGAAATGTGCTCCATCCAGTCTCCTGTGTTTAACTCATGGAAATCTGCAAGAGTCAGTAACAGGAAATTCAATTAAGCATATACCTGGAGGGTGTTCTGGAGATCAACACCCTTGTGGCCCGGTCCATGACCAGGCTGAATTTTCATTCAGACTGTCCAGTGCCTTCCCACATTTTGGTTTCAAAGAGTGTAAATGGAGTGTGAAAAGTATCTTTTATTTATATTAATTATTATTATCATCATCACAACTAAGTGCTATTATTTTTTATTTCTAATACCATGGAAATGTTATTTTATGGATCAATTTTCATTCTTGTGCATTCATTTTTAAGATGAAAATGACTTTTAGTTTTGTTTTTCATAGGAGATTCATTTTTAATATAGGAAAAAAAATTGTACAGGCACCGGGGTTACTTGTACATATTTATCTTCATTGTTACTGATTATTATTTTGAGATACACCAGAGGTTAGTTCTTAGTTGTGTCATAAAGAACAAAAAGGTACAATACTGTGACTGGAACAATACAACCACAATTAGGTGAGTACACACACATACACACAATCCGTATGTAAGCTTTACACTGGCTGCCAGGGCAAACGTAGGCCCTGGCAGCCAGTGGAAGCCAGCAGAGGTGTGAGGACCAAGAGCTGAGGCTTGACTCATGCAAATAAAATTAGTTGAGTAAATACACAACTTCAGCTCAGTACACCTGTGGTGCTACAATTAAGTCTAGGGAATAAAAAAATTCCATTAGGAATGTGGAAAATTTTGAATTTTCCTAAATATAATAATTACGTATTAAAATGTGATGCTACTTGGACCCTTTGAAAAATTTCGAGTAAGGGGGTATGTGGAAGAGCCGGGGAGTGACACCATATTGAACTTATTGTGTGAGCAATGGAATGAGTTTTGCAACATGATTGAGCATTCTTGGACGCCAAATTGTTTTTTTTCGGCCTGAATTTGTAATTAGGAACCCATGTCAATGTCCCCTGCTGAAGACTTGGGACAGGAAATATGGAAGACCTCAAGAATTATGTGTGGATGGCAGAAAATATGGGATGGAACATCACTCACAAAGAAGTGCACCATTAGTCCTTGCATTTAGATTTTTAGCTGGCCAGTGTAGGGTCTAGGTGTTAGGCAAGTGTTGTGGTGTGATCCATCTACAGTAATTAAATAGTAAGTGGTAATACAAAGTTTTTTCTAAAATGTATTGTATTACTAGTTGTATTTTTGTGTACCCAGCAAATAAACCAAAATAACATACAGTCCACATAATTTTAATATACCAGAGTAGCTCAGTAGTTTGTAAATTCTACCTAGTATTTACAAATAATTAAGCTGATGCTGGGCTGGAGGACCTACTGCAAAATTGTGTTTAAAAGCAAAAGGTCCCAGGATCAATTCCCAGATGGGACATAACATTTAGTCATGTTTTGTAAGCATTGTGCACCCCCTTGGGAGCATCATGCACCCCTGGGAGCATCATGCACCCCTGAGTGCATCATGCTCCCAGGGGTGCATGATGCTCCCAAGGGGGGTGCATGATGCACCCTATGAGAGCATGATGCACCCCCAAGGAGCATAACGCGCTGTTGGAAGAATCATGCACCACCAGGGAGCATAATGCACTGATGGAAGCATCATGCACCCCTGGGAGGATAAGGGTACATTATCATGTAACGATTATGTACTTTTCATGTAAGGATACATGGTTTCATACCTAGAACTTGAAATTCCTCCACCACCATTACTGAATATAAGAATGAGGACAGCCTGATGCTCCAAATACCATAAGTCCATTTACAAAATTAAGGATGCAGAATATATAAGAAAAATGATGCAAATACTTACAGAATGACTTGCATATTATTGTTTATATGATGGCCTCTTCCTGTTCACACCAAAGTTTATATTTGGGATTGCTGACAAATCTCTTAATAGTATGGCATGTAAGACATGTAACCACTAGGTGCTTTTGTCGTTGTGATCTAAGACGAACTTTAGCATTTACACCATACACTAACGCTATTCCACACCCTTTACATAAAGTTCGCTTGAGTGCTGGTGACAGTCGCATAACACATCGCCGACCAATGGCTGCTGCCAATGCACCTGTTTGTGATGCAATTATGTGGTTACCAGAAACATGGGATGGCTTGGAGGCTCTGATCTCCATTGTGGCCACTGCCTGTGATACCTGAACAAGGTAGTTGATACGTTCCAGGTTCTCACCAACTAAGTTCTTTTTGTGCTTTTTAATTTGTTGCACATTCTGTTTCAATGGTTGCTTATTTGTCTGTTCTTCAGTTTTGTTCTGCTGCATATTTGACTGTTGAGAACCTTCATTTATCTTTGATAACTGTTTCTGCAACTCGCACCTCTGCTTCTTGGCTGCTTGATTCTGTTTTTCTGTGTGCTCCTGCTGTTCTGTGCATTGTTGTTTGGGTGACTCCTTGTATTCCAGGACTTCTAGTAACAGCACCTGTTTTGGTATTTGGGACTGCTGTTGTTCTGGTTTCAGTTGTTGCTCCACTGGTGTATGTGAAATTAAATGATGCTGCAGTGAATGTGTTTGGTGGTGTTTGTGCATATGTTTGGTTTGGTCATGTGTTTGGTGCTGGTGCTGCTGTAATAGCTGGTGATGTTTTGGTGGTTGATCTTCCTGATTTGATGGTTGGTGGTTTTGCATTTCTTGTGGTTGTGAGAGTTCTTGTGGTTGGGGCTGTTTTAGTAACTGGTGATGCTCTTCTGGTGAATGGTGGCATTTTTCTGGTGACTGGTGATGCTCTTTGGGTGCCTGGTGGTTATCTTCTGGTGGTTGGTGGTGCTCTTCTGATGGTTGGTGCTTTTCTGGTGACTGGTGGTATTCTTTTGGTGGGTGGTGATGATTGTCTTGTGGCTGGTTTTGATCTGGTGCAGAGTGTTCGTCATGAGGTTGATGATGCTGTTCTAGTGGCTGGTTGTGCTGTTCTAGTGCCTGGTGGTGCTCTTTTGGTTGCTGTTGGCACTCTTCTAGTGGATGATGATGTTCTAGTGACTGATGGTTTTGTTCTAGCAGCAGGTGGGGTTCTATAAATTGTTGATGGTGCTCTTCTGGTAATTGGTGGTGTACTAGTGGATACTTATGACGGTGCTCCAAGTCTGCTTGATTTTGTTTATGTGATGAGAGTTCTAGTGTAGGGTCACTCTCCTGTGTGACTCCTCCAGCTCCAATAAACTCTGCCATCTTCACCAGCTTGATTAAAATTAGTCACTGTTTCTGTAAACAAAACCAATACTAATTAATTCCAATGAAAATAAACCATGAGTAATGCAGAATACTACAAATTTTGTTTTAGTTATATACAGGCAGGACCCGTTTTACAGCACTTCGCTTTACAGCATTTCACTAATACAGCGATTTTCAATTATACCCATTCTTCATTTATTCAGATTTCCTACAATTAATATATGAACCAGTCACTTTAAGATGAGAACAAAAATACTTTAAGGTAAGTAATGTGTGCATTGTATAAGCATTTTTTAGGCCTAGCTCTATTGCTCACTTAATATATGATAGTGTAAACATGTTATATGCAAATGAAGTGAAAAAAGGCTATGATTCACTTTACAGTGATTTTTGCTTTACAGCAGTAGCTCGGAACCTAGCATGCTGTACAAATGGGGCCCTCCTATACCATATTTAAAAAAAGATGTGTAAAGCTGCAATTTCTAAGAATACACTTGTACAATGTTAATTTAAAAGTAGCATTGTATAGCATAATTAACTGCACCCAGTATTAACTTGATATATTGAACTGATTTATCCCTCATAACCCAATAAAGCTCCACTTACAATTAGCCATTAACAATACAGTGGACCCCCGGTTAACGATATTTTTTCACTCCAGAAGTATGTTCAGGTGCCAGTACTGACCGAATTTGTTCCCATAAGGAATATTGTGAAGTAGATTAGTCCATTTCAGACCCCCAAACATACACGTACAAACGCACTTACATAAATACACTTACATAATTGGTCGCATTCGGAGGTGATCGTTATGCGGGGGTCCACTGTATAAGTAAAGCATAATGCAAAAAAAAAAAAAAAAAGGTCCTGGCTAAATAGTAAATAGTGATTCTCATTTGGATTTCGTACTTTTTTGTGAATATGATGCATAATGCTGTAACAATAAAAATTGAGTTGTAAGCAAGCAAACCAATATAAATAATGTAATTATTATAATCATTATTATTTAACCTGAAGGTATTTCAATTGCCCTAAAACAGTTTACACCTTTAAAACTGAGTTCCACTCAAATGAATAAAAGTTACTTGGTTTAAGTGGCAATAGTTAGGAGCCAGTAACATTAAATTTTTCAGTCATAATGAGCACAGTATATCATGCATCCTACTGTACAGTATGTTATTTTTTAAAGCTTGAGTATGACATGATGTTTAACATGTTAATGATACTTAAAAGTTGATTAATCCAGAAAGACTTAACATTAACAGGTTAAAAATGATCTTTTGATAAATAATTTTGGTACTGTGAAAATTTTTAAATATAGGCTAAGCTCTGTTAAGTTAACCTAACATGAAATAACTAACATTTTATTTTGATCTCGAATTATGAAGAGCATTATTATTTATTTATTTATTTACTGTCTTTGTCTTTTGAGATTGTGTATATACAATAGTGGGATGCAATGCAAAGAGAGCCTCTATTATGCCTAGGCATTATGGGCCAACTTAACATTATGGCTTACATTCTACTTAATACTAAGGAGCAGTATATCATAGTTGTACAGTAGGAAAGTAATTATTTCATAGTTGTACAGTAGGAAAGTAATTATTTCATAGTTGTACAGTAGGAAAGTAATTATTTCATAGTTGTACAGTAGGAAAGTAATTATTTCATAGTTGTACAGTAGAATATTAATTATGAATGAATCAAAATTTGTATAATACAAAGATATATTTATATTCTAAAATGCTTTTTGTGAAAAACAATGATTCAATTATATTCCTGTCAACAATGGATAAAAGGTTCAATGTGATTGTTTCAGTTATGATGTGGGAGTACATAGGTGAGTAAGTGTGTACTGAGTATTTATCATTTAGTCTTGGGTGATTAAGTGGCTTTTGAGAAGTCTTAAATTGATTTTCAGACTGGGTTACTTTAATATCTTCTGGTAATGAATTCCATATTTTGGGGCCCTTTATGTGCATAGAGTTTTACACGGTGTGATATGGACACGAAGTATATCAAAAAGAGTTCTGTGTCTTGTGTTGTGGTCATGTTATAACTCACTAAATCATAATATCACAATTTCAAACAAATTACAGAATGAGTGGGGCTTGAACCCCACCTGTTTTGCAATTTCCATTATTATTACATTCTTGGTGGAGGGAGCACTAAGCCCATATGGGTCATACAGTGCTTAATTACGGTTATGGTAGGCAATCAAGTTGTCTCCATTGAATTATTATTACTGTTACATTCATGGAGGGAATGCTAAACCCATGGGGGTCATACATTATCATTACATTCATGAGGGAGCCATAAATCTATAGGGGTCATAAATATTATTACATTCATGGGGAAGCCTAAACTCATATTTGTCATATATTATTACATTTATGAGGGAGCACCTGAGGAAATGTAAGACATTCAGGCTTGATTCAAGGAATTAAAATAATGGTCTAATTCCTCAGATCAAGAACCCCTCACCCCCCCATGAGGGGAACATTAGGTCCCGTGGCCTGGTAAACAACGCTCTTGCCTCACACACAGAGTGTCCGTGGTTCAATCTCTGGCTGTCCCTGTTCACCTGGGTGTTAGTCGACTGGGGGACAAGACTGAATTACCACAGTGGACATAAGACAGACAGTCCCCGACGATGCACTGACTTTCTTGGGTTATCCTGGGTGGCTAACTCTCCAGGGTTAAAAATTCAAACAAAATCTTATCTTACCGCCCAAAGAAAGGGCAAATCCAATTTCTTGGGTCAAGTGCTACTCAACAGCATCATGCACTACAAAAAAGACTATTTTTTAGATTACCTCGAAAGGCTATTAATCCCAATAAACCAAGACAGTGAGTTATACTTCCATTCAAGTCCATCGGGCAGGTTAAAATTGCAAATATTTTTTTTACACAAAACTACATATTTATGCATGACCTGCTGCAATAAATGTCTACATACAGGACTCCGAGTCCAAAATTACATGTAAGTGGACAAGTTGTTGTTGTGCTCCAGAATTCAATTCAATTCAATTCAATTCAAGTTTATTCTCTATAAGGGTTACAAGGTTATGGGTATTGTGTGGTTTACATGTTATATAATACTAATTACAGAGGGGGCCACTAGGACACCTAGCATGGCTAGGCATTTCGAGCAGACTTAGATTAATTCTTAACATTAAATCCTTACAGATTATGGTATTAAGGCTAAGTGACTACATCATAATTTGTGAGTTTAGCAATGTGAATGCTTTTGTTTTGGCACACTACAAGGTGTCTATATTGGAGTATCATAGGCAAACTTATGACTAGTTAGGATTTATTATTTTAAGATTAAGATTAGTATTTCTGGGTTTATAGTCAGTAGGTGAGTGAGTGTAATTTTGAACCACCAGGTGGTTATCATGTAGTTAGTTGTCGGGGTGGATCAGGGAGATAAGATGTTTTCTAACTGTAGTTTTGAAAGTGATGAATGTGTCTGCAGTTCTAGAGTTTTCAGGTAGGGTGTTCCAGATTTTAGCTCCTTTGAAATACATTGAATTTTTGTAAAGGTTTAGTCGAACACGGGGAATGTCATAGACCAACTCCAAGCCTGAGGGACTGATTGCCTCATCTTTTGTATACAGTTCTTGTCTTCCAATTATGTCCTTGAATTCGTATTGATAAAGCCACTGGATGGCGAAACGTCTACAATAAAGATACCCAGATACTACACGTGTGTCTAATTTTCCCCAGGTTGTTGTTGTTGGGTTTATAAGGGCCACTGACAGCACTAGCCGTATCGAGCCCGACTTCTTGATGGCACTAGGAAGATTTATTACCCAAAGTTCAGCGATGAAAGAAAAGGAACAAGAGTTCCTTTGTAAATAGAGATAGAAACTTGAAGTTTCCAATTAGATCCTGTGGACACCCTTTGCCACGCCCCAGCAGAGCGGGACGCCCACACCCCGACCTGAGTTCAGTAACCGGTTTCCCACCAGAGACCGGAAAAAATGGAGCTGGTTAAAATTAACAATAACAATAGCAAGTTTATTTTAGCATGATACATGTTTGTAAAAAAGGAGTGTAACAATTTGGTGAACATACTAAAAGCCCCTTTATATGCAGAGCATTTCGGGCAATAAGTTCTGTAATTTTACATATGATAATTAGGTGAGTTACAGCGAATACAAGAAAATTGAATATTCAGCTCCCCTCAAGGAATGTTCATTGATGTTGGTGAGGGGCTCTTGATTTAGGGAATTGGATCTGTGCTCCAGTTCCCCGAATTAAGCCTGAATGCCTTCCACATCCCCCCCCCAGGCGCTGTAAATCCCCGTTTAGCGCTTCCCCTTGATTATAAATAATATTTAATTTTTATAACAAGGGGAAACGCTAACCCGTAGGATTTTACAGCAGATTATAAAATTTAAAAAATAATGAAATTACTGGTTCACCTCAATGGGTTTAGTAAGTTCGGTAGAGATAATTTTGTTTTGATATATTTTTGAAAAATATATTATTACAATTAGCACAAAATTTAAAAAATGAAATTGAAAGAATTTAAATTTTAAGTAATGAATAAATTTAAAAAATTGAGCAATCACTAATCACAATTTACAATATGAAGTATTACAATTTAGCACAATTTTAAAAAGAAGGCCTTGAAAAAATAATAGTTAACAATCACCAAAAAGCTGTGACCATTGCTCCGTACAGTGCCCGTCGGGCAAAATTGAGAACAAACGTCCAAAGAGAACAGGGGGAAATTTATCACCGAACTCAGGGGAAAAGAACATCCACACCCACGAAGGGTTACGCAGAAGTCATCTATCACAGTGGCCTTGGGCCTGATGGGAAAAGCTCTCGCTTCACACGGGAGGAGTCCGGGGTTTGATTCCCCGAGGGGTTAAAACTTGGGCTATTTTCCCCACTACGCTCCGTTCTCCTCAAAAAAAATGGGGACCTGGGGTTTTGTCGACGGTGTGGGTCGCATCCCGGGACAGAACTGATCTAATTTGCCCAAATGCTCTCAACCAAGGGAAATTCTATGTATAGTATTCATTGATTCAGCTAGACGTATACCTTGTACATGTAAAATAAAGATATTATTAGTGTAGGGAAAATTTTACTTAAATTTTCCAAAAAATTTTAAAAGCATAATTTTTCTATAATTAAATAAGTGTAAATTGTTTGCTGTTGGTTTAAAATTTAAATTTTCGATGATAAAAGAGCCAGCAGACCGGGGAAACGCCAGATGGAAATTTTTGGGGGAAGGTGACTAACCCGTAATTAAACAATCGACGAGGTTTAAATTTTAGTGTAGCGGCCCTTCCACCAGAAAATAATGGGGTACGCCCTACACTCTGGGAGCAAATAAACCCCCAGGGCCCGCTGGGGAAAAGAAAGCCCCCAGGGCCCACTGGGGCAAAAAAAGCCCCCGGGCCCAGCTGGGGAGCAAAGAAGCCCCCAGCCCAGCTGGGGAGCAAAGAAGCCCCCAGGACCCAGCTGGGGAGAAAGGAAGCCCCCAGGACCCAGCTGGGGAGCAAAGAAGCCCCTAGGACCCAGCTGGGGAGCAAAGAAGCAGCCAGGACCCAGCTGGGGAGCAAAGAAGCCCCCAGGACCCAGCTGGGGAGAAAAGCACCCAAAACCCAGCTGGGGAGTAAAGCCCCCAAAACCCAGCTGGGGAGCAAAGCCCCCAAAACCCAGCTGGGGAGCAAAGCCCCCAAAACCCAGCTGGGGAGCAAAGAAGCCCCAAGGACCCAGCTGGCAAGCGAAGAAGCCCCCAAAACCTAGCTGGCAAGCGAAGCCCCCAAAACCCAGCTGGGGAGCAAAGCCCCCAAAACCCAGCTGGGGAGCGAAGAAACCGCAGATCCCAACTGATGAGTGAAGAAGCGCCCAGGACCCAGCTGGGGAGCGAGGAAGACCCCAGGACCCAGCTGGCAAGCGAAGAAGCCCCCAGGACCCAGCTGGCGAGTGAAGAAGCCCACAGGACCCAGCTGGGGAGTGAAGAAACCCCAGTACCCAGCTGGGGAGCTTAGAAGCCCCCAGGACCCAGCTGTGGAGTGAAGAAACCCCAGAACCCAGCTGGGGAGCTTAGAAGCCCCCAGGACCCAGCTGTGGAGTGAAGAACTCCAGAACCCAGCTGGGGAGCTTAGAAGCCCCCAGAACCCAACTGGGAGTGAAGAAGCTCCCAGGACCCAGCTGGCAAGCAAAGAAGCCCCCAGAACCCAGCTGGCAAGCAAAGAAACCCCCAGAACCCAGCTGACAAGCAAAGAAGCCCCGAGGACCCAACTGGCGACTGGAGAAGCCCCCAGGACCCAAATGGTGACTGGAGAAGCCCCCAGGACCTAGTGGACGAGTGAAGAAGCCCTCAGGACCCAACTGGCAAGTGAAAAAGCCCTTAGGACCCTGCTGGGGAGCAAAGAAACCCCCAGGACCCTGCTGGTGAGTAAAGCCCCCAAAACTCACAGACCGGGCCGCGGGGGCGTTGACCCCCGAAACTCTCTCCAGGTAAACTCCAGGTAAACCTAGCTGGTGACCAAAGCTCACAGGACCCAGCTGGTGAGCAGAGAAGCACTCAGGACCCAGCTGGGGAGCAACAGACCCCCTCAGGACCCCGCTGAGGAGCGATGAACCTCCCAATACTTAGTGCTCCAAGGTCCTGTTCGTCACTGCTGAGCGTTCCATGACCTGGGTAATGAGGGAAGAGTTACCAGAGATCCAGTTTTTTGAGATCCAGTCATTGAGCAATGAGTCTTCTGAGACCCAGTTGGAGAGTGATGAGTGCTTTCAGATTCAGTTCTTAAGTAATGAGTCTTCTGAGACCCAGTTAAGTGATAAGTTTCGTCAGGTGGAGCTCACTCCTGTCACTCAGGCTGTACAGACTAAGCTTGTGATTCAGGTGAAAATCACTATGCTTGTTCCTCAGGAAAAACTTACTGTAAGTGTTACGCGTTCTCTTCTCAGTAAGCTGATTCCTCAAGAGGAACTTACTAAGCCTATCCCTCAGAAGGAACTTAAACTAAGCCAGTCCTGCAGGCTAGGTTCAGTAACCTCCTCTCCCTGGTTCAGAAAATGGAAGTATAAAATTCACAAAGGCTAGTGGAGTCTGAAGGTTCTGAGACCACTTCAATACATGGGTTTTCATACCAATTTTCTGAATAACATTTTTAGTCCCACAAGTGTGGAATCCTCCAGAGTGCCTAGAGCAGTTCATTATTATTATTATAATCAAGGGAGAAGCGCTAAACCCGGAGGATTATACAGCGCCTTGGGGGGGGGATGTGGAAGACATTCAGGGGAACTGGAGCACAGATCCAGTTCCCTAAATCAAGAGCCCCTCACCAACATCAAGGAACCTTCCTTGAGGGGTAGAGCAGTTCAAAATAACCCCTCGCCCATACCTTGGAATTTCCTTCAATGAGGTACACAGTGCTTGCCTTTATCTCTCACATATGGTCCACGGTGGCCATCTACCTTGTGGAACCCTATGAAGTCAGCTTTCTGTTCCAGCCCACAGACATCAGAGCCGTCTCCAGTACCAAACCAACAACAACCAGCTCCATGGTTATCAGAAATGTGCTCCATTCTGTCTCTTGTGTTTAACTTATGGAAATCTGCAAGTCAAAAACAGGAAATTTAACAGCATATACCTGGAGGGTGTTCCAGGAATCAACACCCCTGTGGCATGGTCCATAGCCAGGCTGAATTGTCATTTCGGACTGTCCAGTGCCTTCCTACATGATGGTTTCAAAGAGTGTAAAGAATGGAGTGTGAAAAGTAAATTTTATTTATATTAATTATTATTATTCCTAGGTAGTAGGTTGGTAGACAGCAACCGCCCAGGGAGGTACAGTACTACTGTCCTGCCAAGTGAGTGTAAAACAGAAACCTGTAATTGTTTTACATGATGGTAGGATTGCTGGTGTCTTTTTTTTACCTCTTAAACATGCAAGATTTCAGGTACGTCTTGCTACTTCTACTTACACTTAGGTCACACTACACATCATGTACAAGCATACATATACACACCCCTCTGGGTTTTCTATTATTTTCTTTCTTGTTCTTGTTTATTTCCTCTTATCTCCATGGGGAAGTGGAACAAAATTCTTCCTCTGCAAGCCATGCGTCTTGTAAGAGGCGACTAAAATGCCAGGAGCAAGGGGCTAGTAACCCCTTCTCCTGTACAAATTACTAAATTTAAAAAGAAAAACTTTCGGTTTTCTTTTTGGGCCACCCTGCTTTGGTGGGATACGGCCGGTTTGTTGAAAAAAAAAATTATTATTATTATAATCACAACTAAGTGCTGCTATTTTTATGAATTTATTTCTTATACCACGGAAATGTTATTTTATGGATAAATTTTTGTTCTTGTGCATTTATTTTTAACATGAAAATGGCTTTTAGTATTGTTTTTTGTAGGAGATTCATTTTTAATATAGGTGAAAATTTTGCACATGCATCAGGGTTACTCATACGTACTGTATTTATCTTCACTGTTACTATTATTTTGAGGTACACTAGTGTGTAGTTCTTAGTTGTGCCATAAAGAATAAAAAAAAGCACCCCTGGGAATCACTTTCATTCAGCCCTGATCTTGTATAAACTTAATTGAGGAGCCCAAGTACATTTCTCAGCCTCCTCAGGTACTCTTAAACTTTAAAACATTCATCATTAAGGATTATGTTTGTCTAAAGGTTTTTCTGTCTAATTACAGTCTCTTATGTGCAGGTTGTGTGTGTACATTCTTTTCTTTTCAGTACTCATTGACTGCTACCTTTGCTGTTTTGCTCATTTCCCTGACCTTCACAATCTTTAAGTACAAAATAATCACAGATGTCAATAAGATTACCTACCATAATTCATTTAACCATCAACTTCATTTATTGCAGCCTTTCAACCTTCCTATACAAATTCTGGCAATATCTCTCCCATCTTGGGAAGATCCATATACAGTATTCAGGGTTGTTCATCTGCATTACATAATCGAATATGTGTCATATATATCTGCTATGAACTCGTGCTCTCTCCCTTTAAAACTTTAAATCACATTCTTATGCTACTGCAGAGTACATCAGCAGTGCTAAATTCACACATGGAGTAGGGTATGTGACTATTTTTCCAGGTAAAGGACATTTGCTAGCTAAACAGTATTTTCACAACAGAGAAACAGGCAATACTCACTGCATCATATACATTAGAAATACTGCATGTCCACCTCTTTATTATTGTTTCAGATTACCAGAAATTATACTTCCCCAATAACATTTCTAGCAAGCACAAGTATTTTTTTTTGCTGGGTACATAGATACATTGTTGTTCACGGCAAAGTACATTCAGATGCAGCCAGTAGAGCCCTTATTCATGACCTACCAATCTCCCAGAGGTAATTCCTCTCTCAGTAGTCTCTCGATAACAAAGTCACAGGCAACAATGTTAGTTCGAGTTAGAGCACAACAAATTGTTTTTGGTCAAACTGCAGTTGGATTTCTAGTCATATTTCAATCATTTCAAGTGTGGGAAACTACACTGGCATGATTATGACTCACACACAGATACCACACGGAGAAACACCTAGCACTTCTATGCAAACACTGCCAGGCCAAGCTCTCAATTCCCTATATCTTAATAAATCATCAATGAGCACACACAATTTACTTCTGATATCTTCAATGCCCTGAAGCACTCACACTCTTACCTCCTCACCAGAAGCCTGACATTCAACACAGACTCACTCTTTGGCATTATAAAAGAAACTAATACATTGCACCAACTTTGACATTAATTTTGCACTTGCACTGACCCTAACTCTACTTACCCCTATCTTTACAAATCAAAATGCAGTCTTGTATGACACACAAGTTTAGCAGTTACTTAAAAAAAAAAAAAAAATCAATACCGACCGAATCCCACCAAGGCAAGGAAGGTGACCTAAAAAGAAAAACGAAAGTTTTTCTATTTAGAAAAATGAAAAATTTTTCTTTTTAAATTTAGTAATTTATATAGGAGAAGGGGTTACCAGCCCCTTGCTCCCAACATTTTAGTCACCTCTTACAACATGCATAGCTTACAGGAGGAAGAATTCTTTTCCACTTCCCCATGGATATATACAGCTTTTCCTCACTTAGCGACATACTCATTTACCTACGACTCAGACTTACAATGGGCTCTCTGACCAGTATGTGTACCTAAATAATGTACATTAGAACTGATTTCCTCTATTCTGTTTATTACAATATACAGTACAGCCTCTCCTCACTTAATGACGGAGTTCCATTCTTAAGATCACATCAGTAAACAAATTAGTTGCTAAGCGAGGAGCATACTATAATGGTAGTGGGTTTGTGTCAACCAACTTTAATATTGTTTTAATGTCACCTTTGCACCATTTATAACATTTTTGGTATACTGTTTTTAAACGTTTATACAGTAGTTTACTGTATATTGTAATAAACAGAATAGAGGAAATCAGCTCTAATATACATTACAGTATTTAGGTATGAATACTGGTCAGAGAGCCCGTCGTAAGTCTAAGTCATCGGTAAATGAATACGTCGCTAAGTGAGGAGAGCCTGTTCACTACTGTATAAACGTTCAAAAATACACTAAAAATGTTATAAATGGTGGAGGGGTGACATTAAAACAATATCAAAGATGGTTGACACAAACCCATTACCATTATAGTATACTCCTTGCTTAGCAATGAATTTGTTGACCGACGTGGTCTTAGGAACGGAGCTCCATCATTAAGCGAGAAGAGGCTGTACTACAATACAGTGGACCCTCGACATTCGATACTAATCCGTTCCTGAGAGCTATCGAATGTCTAAAATATCGAAAGTCGAATTAATTTTCCCCATAAGAAATAATGGAAATCAAATTAATCCGTGCAAGACACCCAAAAGTATGAAAAAAAAAAAATTACCACATGAAATATTAAGTTTAATGCAATAGAATAATTACAATAACAATAGATCAATAACAATAGAATAATTGACACTTACCTTTAATAAAGATCTGGTGATGATTGATGGGATGGGAGGAGGGGAGAGTGTGGATGGTGTTAGTGTTTAGAAGGGGAATCCCCTTCCATTAGGACTTGAACTGGCAGCCTCACCATGCCTTACCACACTGTGTATGCCACTATGATTCTTAAATCTTTCAAACCAACCTTTGCTGGCCTTAAATTCACTCACACCACCACTAGTTGCAGGCAATTTCTTTACCAAGTCATCATGCACTCCGACACACGCACTCCACTTTCGTACTTTGCAATTATCTCTTTCTTCATTTCAATAGTCATTAGCACCTTTTTTCTCGAAGGGTTGGCACTAGAAGCTTTCTTGGGTCCCCATGGTTACTTATTTTGCAGAAACAAGCACCAAAAACAGTGATAATATGGACAATATGGAATGTACCGAATGTATCCTTAGAAGTGCCCACACTGGCAGGCTTGTAAACACTGGCACACACGGTGCAGTTCAGGCCACACGTGGACACATCTCGTAGATCAGGCTCTGATCCACCAGGAGGCCTGGTCACAGACCGGGCCACGGGGGCGTTGACCCCCGGAACTCTCTCCAGGTAAACTCCAGGTACGAATCGTATCGAATGTCGGGTTTTCCATCGAATGTTGAGGCAAAATTTTTGCGTTAAAATGCATCGAATGTCGGATTTATTGAATGTCGATGCCATCGAATGTCGGGGGTCCACTGTAATATTATTTTATTATTATTATTATTATTAAAACATTGGCTGTTTCCCACCCAGGCAGGGTGGCCCCAAAAAAAGAGAAATATTCATCATTATTCACTCCATCACTGTCTTGAAAGAGAGCTTACACTTACGGTTATATAACTGCAACATTAACATCCTCCTTCAGAGTGCAGACACTATACTTCCCATCTCCAGGACTCAAGTCCAGCCTGCCGGTTGCCCTGAATCCCTTCATAAATGTTACCTTGCTCACACTCCAACAGCACGTCCAGTCCTAAAAGCCATTTATCTCCATTCTCTCCTATCAAATATGCTCACACATGCTTGCTGGAAGTCTTCACACACAAAACCTCCTTTACCCCCTCCCTCCCACCTCTCCTAGGCCGACCCCTACCCTGCCTTCCCTCCATTATAGCTTTATACACTCTCGAAGTCATTTTATTTTGTTCCATTCTCTCTACATGTCCAAACCACCTCAACAACCCCTCCCCAGCCCTCTGGATAATAGTTTTGGTAATCCTGCACCTCCTCCTAATTTCCAAACTATGAATTCTCTGCATTATATTCACAGCTGTGGTGACCTGGTGGCTAAAGCTCCCGCTTCACACATGGAGGGCCCGGGTTCAATTCCCGGCAGGTGGAAACATTTTGATGCGTTTCCTTACACCTGTTGTCCTGTTCACCTAGCAGCAAATAGGTAACTGGGTTTTAGTCGACTGGTGTGGGTCGCATCCTGGGTGACAAGATTAAGGACTCCAATGGAAATAAGTTAGAGTGTTATCCTGGATGGCTAACCCTCTGGGGTTAAAAATCCTAAGAAAAT